CGTTTTCAAATACATGGGGCTTCAGTAAGAATTGGCTTTGGCTTTCTCTCATGTGAAGATTTCTTGCTTGGTACCAGGCACTAATGATTCTTGTCTACTTAAAAAAAAAAAAAAAAAAAAAAAATAATTAAAATGCCAAACCCTTCAACCGAAATCATCATGCCTTTTGAAATACAGTTTTAATAGTGAGAAAAATAGGAAAGATTTCTGAAATTCTTTTAATTTTTTTTTTTCTATCTGAAAATTGACTGGCAGCTCTCAACAAGTTGGAGACAGGGAAAGTTTCAGAAGTATTTGCCTTCTAGACAGCTATCATTGTCTGCAGTCTTCTTGGAACTAGATTTCTATTTGCTGACTGCATAGGCATATTGTCGGAAGTTTTTTACTGAGAACACGAGAAATAACATTTGAATTACTTTTGGATTTCTTATAGGATTTTGTCTCATTTTTACAGCCTCTGAGCTGGATGTGTATTTCATTCCTTTGAATTTTTTATGTTTCTTCTAAATATCTTCTTTGTATCTGGCACAAAGTGGAATGCAAAAGAATTTAAAAGTTTGTGAGTCTCTGGCTACAAAATAACACTTCTCCCAACATTCTCAGTAATTCCGTTTTTAACTAAAGCTTTGACCTGTAGTAGAGACAATAATAAATTAGTTTAGTGTTTTCACAATCCTAGATTTGCATTGTAATTTAAATGCTTGTCCCAATCTACTGAGATTTTTGTACACTTCATGACGATACTATTCTCGCTTAATTCCCAATGACACTTTAGTTCTTAAAGTGTTTACAGATATTTTTTTTTTCCACCAACGCTAGTTAAACTATTTTTCAAAACAGCAAAAGGAGCAGAAAATCCCCAGTCAAAACTTTTCAATGCTAGATTATCTACATGAACCAAATACTTGTAGGTATTTTGCCCTCCTTTGACATTTGAAACCAGACTCCCGCCTTCCTACACGGCTACTTTCTGAGGCTCACAAACAGTTCGGCATTATACAAAGAAGACTCAGCTCAGTTTCCTAAACAACTCCTTCATGCCATGCCACCCACACCAAAGAGTCTGGGGCTTTCCTTGCTTCTTCAGTCTTGGTATACTTCCTTTTTTATTGCCGTGTCTCCAGTCAGTGTGGCAATGAGTGGCCTGCGGGCTTGGCTTGTGACTCTTTGAATTTACTGGATGCAATGAGCTGATATACAGCTGCCCGGAAGGATTGTCATGCTATGCTCACTACACCTAGAAATTAAGGAGTTTTTGTGGGCTCGAGAAGTGGAAACTCAAGTCCAGGCTTGAATTTTAGGTCCTTCACTTTGCTGTTTGTGTGTTGTAGTGTTCCCATAAACACACGCTCTGTGCATGTGTTTTGTAGCATTCCCCAGGAGAAATATCAAAACTGTAGCTTCTTTGAAATCAGGGATACGGCTGTGTCCAGGTATTTGGCACAAGCTCTACTAGAGTGAAAAACGGGGGTGCCCCTGTATCAGTCATAGTCAGCCTGTGAAACACTGTAGTGCCATTATTCCCTGTGTTGCTGGAGTATTTCATTTGCTGGAGTAGTGCAGTGCAGCGGACAGAAAGGTGATGTTATACACACCCTGAAAGGTTCCAGCGGTGCAGCCGGTCCTGGTCACCAGAGCCCACCGATGGCAGCAGGCAACAGCAAGGGGAGCTGACTCCTTCGGCTAGTGGCTCAGCTCTTTGCAGGGGGTAGGCATAGGAGGACTCGTGGGCTCGGCTGATAAGGATTTCTGTTTGAAACAGACAGTGGACAGCTAGTTCAGGGCTGATGGTGAGATTCAAAAGGAAACCATTTCACAGTGATGGTCTTGGATGTGCCTTAAAATGTTTGTTCAGGAGAAAATGTCTATGAATTGTGGAAAAAAAAAACAACCAGAGAGAAAGAGTAAAAGGCTGTGCACAATGCCAGCTGCCAGTAGAGGTTGAAGGTTTATTTTCAGAGCATCGTTTTTAGAAATATTGCTTCAAATAATTTCCTCAGTCTAAAGAAAATTGCACCTTATACCTTTTTGTTGTGTTTTCAGAGTGGATTTTTATGGAAGAACAGGGCTGTTCGGAGTGTTGGGCGGGTTAAGCCCTATGCTTTCAGAAGAGCTCTCTGTAAAGACACTGAGTGTTGTGTGTTGCTGTTGCATAGTGATACCACGGTCCTTACTCTGTGATGAATAATTCAAATGAAAGTGGCTGGTGGGCTACAAATAATTGGAACAGATTTTGTGAGTATAGTGTAGAACAGGGGGCAGCAGACAGTAACAGGCCTTTTCCAGCTTTATGCCCTCCTCAGGTCTGGGCTTAGGTGATGGAGAATTCTCATGAAATTTTCAGAATATAACAAATAATACCTCAACACCGAAGAAGTATTCCCTATCCTGGGTGGAACTGCTAATTGGAAGTAAGGCTCCTGGTTTTTTTGTTTAGTTTTAGTGGATAACATTGAGAAGCAGTGTACACAACAGTACTCACTGGGAAGTCTACAAACAACATGATCACTAGCAAGCTGCCAGTATTTAGGAAAAAGAGTTTTCTACATCCAGCCTTCCTTAGTTCACGCCTTAGAAATTTCACATGGTCCTTGAGCCTTGCATGCATGTTATCCCTGTACCACAGAAGCAGCAAGCACCCTTTGTTTCCTGCGTGGGAGAGCGTCAATGGCTATGTCCAAGGGGCAAATATGCAGTCTTCTGGCTAGTGGTCAAATGAAGTTTGAAAGTCATTATAGTGTCCAGTGTTTTTACTGAATAGCTGGTGCAGGCAGCTGGATTGCTGGGAGCTGCCTTGGGATCGTCTGGGAGGTTACTGAGCTTTTGGTTTGATCTTGGAACCATCTTCCTGTGTAAATAAAGGGTAAGCATTAGTTAAGAATGATTACCTTAAAGTATTAGATGTTTTAAGATGTCATGTGTTTCTCCATTAAACAGCCTTTGTAAATTAAAATACAGGTCATCAGCCCAACCCAGCTGTGTGGTTAATGCTTTTTCCGGGTTTGATTGGATCTAGTTACTTACTTCAGGCATTTATAATCTTATTGGGGGGCAGCCTATGAAATGTACATCGGGGAAAGCAATTCTGCGTAGCACGCCACCTACTCGTGGCTTTGCATGTAACTGGTGCTGCGAAAATCCGACTTGGTTTGGACTGCGCGGCAACCGGGGGAGGTCCTGCCCGCAGTCGAGCCGTGCAGTCACCTATGGCACGTGCTGGAGGGGCGATCGCTTCCCCAAAAAGTCAGGCACGTGGTGCGGTGGCAACGGGAGTTTGAGCTTCACAGAGAAGTGAGGCATTAGCTGCTGCACACAGCAGCAGATGGAGGGAGAAGTAGGATGTGTTCAGAAAACAGGCAAGCGCTACAGCGCCTAGTCACAAGCTGCAATCGCTTTGATTTTTACCTGTGTGCATTTAAACCAGATAAGCTTTTTTTATGCCTTCTTTTATCTCAGTGCAAATTATTACAGGTGAGTTATAACTGAAAATATGAAGCTTTAGAAAGACTGATGTTTTACAGCTGCAGTGTGTTGATACTCCAGGATCTCCTCTTTCTCACATAGATTTGAAAGTACAATAGTGCTTTGAGCTCAGTGCCTGCTTTTCAAATGATAAAATGTTTTAACTACTATATTTTTTTTCCTCTCAATCCTAGGTCCTAATTAAGCTGTAATTGTAAGAGCAGTAACTGCAGCAATCATTTCTCTTTGCACTGATCTAATCTGAAGCCATGAGCAGCTGCAATAGTTATGCCACGAAGGATTTTTCCCCTTTGGCATGTATTACACAGGCTGCCCCTCAATGAGGTTACAAGTGCTTGAAAGCTATCGATTTTTGCTCAGTTTTATGAGAATACTTCTCTTTTTAACAGCTTCATTTCTCAGGTTTGAATTTGAATGACCGGGTCATGCAACAGAAGTATTTGTGCATCTGTTTATCTGGTCAGGAAAGCTCTATGATAGCACAAAAATCCTTTTCTGATTCCTAAGCCACTGGAGATCCCGTGCTCTGTTGTCCTCTTGCCAGATCACATGCGTGAGGTGTCTGTAAAGGTTAATAGTACTTCTTAAAGGGAAGTGTTGTTGCGGCGTTGCTTACCAACATCCCAGAAACACACAGCGTGTATGAAAATTACTGTACCGTGGAAATCACCCTGGGTTTTCATTAGGCTGATTTGGGTGTGTTGCTAGGCAACTTGGGGTAACAAGGGGGTTGTGTGTATTCTTTAGGTAAGTATATGTCCCTGTAGAGATTTCCAGGTAAGCAGCATAGATGTGAAAGAGGCTGATCAACTGCAAAGCAAGAAGTTCAGCCCCGCAACCTTAACTTTCGTTAAGAGGAGTTTTTCAAGGAAGAAATTGGATTAGACCCAGGGATGACGTATCCTGTTTGATTTCTTTTCCCCTTGCGCTCTGACGAGCTTTGTGTTTAGGCAGGCTTTTGTTTCTGGCTCTGAGTTGCTTTAAAAAAATTTGGGAGTGTGTCTCGGGGTGTCGAGGGTGATGTGCTTAGCTTGCTTGGCTCAGTTTGTTTGCGAATGCTTTGTTCTTCCCACCACCCTCAGGTCAGTTGTGCAACATGCCCCTACCGTTTAAAAAGAAAAAAATAAAAGGGGGGGGGAGAAATGCTGAGTAATGCCAGAGGTTTCTCAAATGGCTGATGCAAACCTGGAGAATTTGCATCATCATTCAGCTGGAGTAACTTGGTATGACAAGAGCTTAAATACAAGTCCACGCGGAAGCTGAGCTGGTTTCCAATGATAGGGCAGTACCAGCTTGCAGTGTGAAAGCGCAGGTGTTCCTGAGCAGCGCGCAGATCACAGTAAAGGCTCCACTACACTTCGGGAGCTTGCTACCTGTGCGTAGGAGCAGCTGGAAAGATAAGAGAGGGCAGAGAAAGAGACTAAGAAGTTGGCTACACAGAGAGGAAAAAAACCTTGAGTTTCTGCTGCAAACTTTTTTGCCTGTGCTTGCCGTCGGTGTGCTGGTGGCACTGTAGCATGTTTAGGAAAGCTGCTGTGACCACTGTCTCTAATGGAAGCTACTTGCAGGGGCAAGCTAATGGCAGGTTGCCCTCTATGGACAGCGGACAGCCAGCCCAGGAGGGAAAAGTTGTGCTGAAGAAGAAAGTGACGCTTTTGAGGGGGATATCCATCATAATTGGCACTATCATTGGGGCTGGCATCTTCATCTCTCCCAAAGGCATCCTGAAGAACACGGGCAGCGTGGGCATGTCCTTGACTGTCTGGACAGCGTGCGGTGTCCTCTCGCTCTTCGGTAAGTCACTTAAAACGTTCCAGTTGGCCCAGAGGGGCGGCGGGTGGCTTATTGCTGTTATTTGTCGGATTTTGCCATTGGATAGCAAGGCACAGTGTGGAGCTTGAGGACCAATGGGGCTACAGAAGGTTTTTGCTGCATGATAGGTTGCGTGGAGGGCACAGAAGTACACAGCTCCTGTCCCCCCAGTGCCTGGTTAGTTAAAGATGGGAAGTGTAAATTATTGTTTCTTGGGGGTCCCTAAAGTAAAAGAAAAGTAAAAGTTCATTTTACGCTATATAATGTGCCATACGTATAATGTTTTTCTTCTGGCTGTAAGAGGTAGTTTATGGTTTGCTTGTAAGGGTGCCGGCAGCTGGGGCTGCGGGTCACTCTGCTTGAACACCGGCAAAATGTTTAGACAGCTTGACTTTGTTCTGTAGAGGATAAAGCAAAGTCTGAGAGGAATAATTCCCACTGGACGCAAGCTGTATTGGCATGAAAGGGAGCAAAATAACAACACTAATAACCCCTTTCCCCAGTCTTGTATTACGGCTCTCTACTTCATTCCTCGCTCACGATGTTGCTTTGAAAGATTGCACTGCAAAAAACAGTGTGATGGAAACAAATTTGTAATGCGAGTTTTATTGCTGACCTGCCTATCGTGACAGTTTTTACTATTTTTGTGTATTTTTGAAGAGTATTAAATTCTGAAGAATGCCACTTTATTTGTTGTGTACACAAAACCCCCATTCAGAGTGGAAAATCCCACCCTGACCTCTGCGGGACAGAGGGTCCATTGACCCGCTTAATGAGTTAATCTCAAAGAAGGTGAAGAACTAACATGAATATTTGCTTTATTTAAAACAGAAGCAACTTGTTTTCTGGCAGGAGGTAAGGAGGGCAAACATGGACTAACACGTGTCTGCTTAGTAGGTGGAACATGAAAATGTCACCCTGTGTAAATTGGCTCTGAGCTTAAAAGAAACATGAACTGTTCAGAGGCTAAGCCCACCTAAGCCGAACAGACAGTGCAAGCAAGTTAAGACCTGTTTTGATCAAATGTTAAATCTATTAGTACAATGTGCAGCATAATCTGTTGTACAAATGTGGAAGTCCTGCCTGGAACCAAAATTACCCTAGAATGAAAACCTCAAATACAATTTGTAACTCTGTCAGAAGACCTTGGCCTTTAGAGTTAGGCAAAACAGAATTTGCTTAAACATTGCATTTTTGGCTTTAACTTTCATAGTAGTAATTTTCTGGCTGTGAAGTCTTAAAAAAAAAATTCTCTTTTGTCAGAAAGATTTTCTAGGTCATTTTCCAGATCTCAAGATATGAAGAACTGTGTAATTTGGCCCAGCAAAAGATACTATCTCTTTCTCTGAATGGACCTGTTTTTCATGTTCTTATTTTTAATTCCGCGCATGACTTAATTATAGTAAAATCACATGCAAAGATCACTTAAGTTCTTGCCGAGGCTGTGTGCATAACATGTATTGAAACAAAATTACATTTCATCCTGAACCTCAACAGAAGAGGCTGGCAAGAGACAACCCATCAATAGCTTTTTTTCTTTTTTTAATGTGGCTGTAAGAATTTCTTTAAGTACGTTTTCAGGTAAGCTGAAGAACAGCAGATAAAAGCTGCCACATTTTTGCAAAGCCCCAAACAAAGCAAAGGAACAAGGATGGAATTTGTCATAATGTGATACAGCCTTAGTGGGCTTGTACATGTTATGTGGTTTTGACAACTGTAGTTTTCATCTTAAAGCTTCATAAAAGCATGCAGGGAACAAAGCCAAAATGAGTACATATGTGTTGCTGATCTTAGCTCTGTGTGACGTGGTGATTACAAACTATATTACTATTTTCATCTGCCTTCTCAGACTCTTATGAAAGGGCTGCATACATTTATTGGACGTGGTACACTGCTCGTGGTCCACCCATGGAGCTGAGAATCCATTGGTTTTGTGACTGGGTGATGGCTCATTAAGCGACAGCAGCAGATGGTGCATGCATGAAGAAGGCTTCATGCAGGTCCTCATAGTTGCAGCATGCTGTTGCCTGCTGCATAATGGCAGAGGCCGTGTGTTGTGCTGACAGCAGCCTCGGAGAGCTCTCTGAGAGCTGCTGCTTGCTGGGAATGCCACTAGCACTTGCTCCAAAGGGGCCTGAACCACTTCTCCATGAACTAATGCAGCAAAGTGATGATGATTTGGGTTTAATTTTAGTCGGTGTAAATGCACCAACTGATGAAATGAGCCTCCTGCTATGAAAATGTGGTCTATATTTAAGGCAATGCGGAAATTAACTGAGATTTAATTGCATTAGTAGTACACAGCAACACGGCACCAGCGTTGAAAAGTCAGGGCTAAGCTATCCCCCAAATTTTGTATATAAGATGTTGGGAGTACTGTTGAGGAAAATTCTTAATCTGCAATTCCTGCTTCCAAATTTTGGCCAGTTGATTGCTTCACCCATGGCTGAGGAGAGATAATACAGTTACCAGGCTTTTCTTCAGAGGCTGAGCCAGGCATCTCTAAGGCTGAAAGGAGCTGATCATTGTTTGATAACAAGCAAATGTGTCAGAAGGCTTTCACTAGGAGGTGCAGTCAGGCTGGCTGGGGAGCCCGGGTAGCTGGCATGATGCAGCAATTTGTTGTCCCTCTTCATGAAATACAGCTGAGTAATGAAACGTGTTGATAGAAGATAGTTGGATCAGTGGCTTGACGTGTAAATGTAACTGGATATATGAACAGTTGGGTTAACTGTAAGTCTCAGTGAGTGAATTAAACTTACAAAATGTATTGAAAGAAATGATTGAAATACATCAGAAGTATCTATGATACCACGGCAGCTCCATTTTTATCTTATAAATGTTTTGAAGGTATTTCCAGATATCTCTTGTGATGCCACAGTTTAATTCTCACAGGTGCACTCTGCTATGCTGAGCTAGGAACATGCATTAGGAAATCTGGTGGTCACTACACCTATATCCTGGAGGCCTTTGGCCCATTACCTGCTTTTGTGAGAGTCTGGGTTGAATTACTCGTCATTCGGTAAGTGTATTGTGGCTTTTCTGTATTTCTTTTCTGATGGCAACACACTTTTCAGTCATAAAGAAGGATCTCCAATATGTGATGGGCAAAACAAATCAAATGTATCTTGATCAATGAGTTATGTTCTTTTAGTATGGTTGCTTCAGAAAATTTTACAAAGCTATTTTGCTCATCAGCATTGAAACATTCAAGAAGTCATACGTACATGTACGAGGGGAAAAAACCAATTCTAAAAAAACTGTCTGCCACACAAATTCAGCTACTTTCTTTAATTTTACTATGCTGACTGTATCCATTAATGTCACTAGTAATGCTAATACCCGTGCCTATGTAGAGTACAGTGGAAATCACCTTTACATTTTCTCAGTCTTGGCACTAGCTTTTGGAGCGGTAGCTGTTGTCTGTGGATACAGGAGTAACTCCTGGTGAAGCTATTACCCGGTAGTTTTCAGATTTGAGGGCATCATGTATTCTTTATGTATCAATTCAGGTCCCCATTTTTCGTTTTTGTGGGGTGTTGAAGAACTCGAATCTTGATTACTATGAAAAGCACAAACTGGCCAAATAAAGCCATGCAAAGTCCTTACATATAAAAAATCCAAAGTATTGTTTTGGTGTGTAAGCCTGTGACTCATGCAGTCCATGACATTGTATAGGTGAATTACAATATGAAGATGCGGAATCATTAAACCATATAAAATATAGTTCCGTAATATAAATTGATCTTTGTATCAAACTCAGATGTGGCCCTTTGAAATTTTAGTTTTGCTGTTGTTTTTTTTTTAAGGTATTGCTGAGGCTGGAAAGCTTGTTACATGTAGAACAGGGCAAAATGCAAAATTAATTCAGGTATGCTCCATTCCTGCCTCAGGCTACCTAGCACTCCTTTCCCCTCTCTTCTGCAATCAGCGAATCAGTGACAAAAGCACAAGTCTGGTTTCAAATCACAACTATGTTTACATAATGTTGACAAGTTTAAGCACAGACTGTTGAGCTTAAAAGCACTGACGGTGCTGGGTCATTAAGAATCCGTAAATTCTTATCTTGTTTCCAGAGGAAATCATTGTGTATATCAGATGGTTCCTTACATCGTCCCCACCCATACCTAACCTTTGAATTAACTGCGTAATTTCCATCAAACCTGATGAAAGAGCAGATGTCTTAACTGTATTAATTTTTTGCCAAAAAGGAAAACCAGACAGAGGAAACAGACCTATGTTTTCACTGTGAGAAGCACTGTGAACGTAGCTGTATCGTTGCACATCACAGAACCAACAAGAGAGAGTAGTGTTTGAAATCTCCCTTATGCACCTTACTATGCAGGGGAACCTTATTAGCCTGGGCACAAATATCTACAAGAAACTAGGCTTCATAAATTCCTCTCCTCGCAATAGCATTATGTTTTGACGTATGACAGTATCCCAGGAGCGTCATGGAAACGCTCTTAGTCATCGTGATTTGCCCCACACCCAGAAAATAATAATCCTGCATGGGAAGGAACATCATTGAATTCTTTAATCTTCAAATCTGAGAGGCAGCAAGGGAGGCATACTTGTTATAACTTGTGATGATCAGAGCCGCGCTGCCGAAACTGTGTGTAGAGTTTTATAGCCAACTCCTGCATTGGTAAACTAATTGGCTGCTGCTATCAAAGAAGTTGAGACCTAATATGTATCTAGGTTTTCTTCAGTAGATGAAGACACACTTCTCAGCTAAGCTGTTTTTCCCTCTGAAATATTGCTGGGTTATCACACCCACGGGCTGGTGAAGCAGCCACAACTAAAGTAAATATTTCCTGCTCTCTTCTATCGTTTCAGCCACTATTTTACAGTCTAGGACGCACTTAAACTCTGCTCACATACTGATTAATCTGTGCCAGCATCACCTACTGTTTACATGTGCCTTACGCTGTGCTGCTCCTCATCCAGTATGAGTAGGAACTTTTTTCCTTCCCAAAAGTCAGGTTGTGGGCCTATTACACGCTTGTTTTAAAAAGAAGATCGTTTTCAGACAGGTGAAGATGGCTGTGTGAATGCATTCTCTGTAGTGCTGAAGTATGGTGATTGCTAAACACAATTTGGGTGAGAGTGCTGCTGAGTGAGTCACTCGCCTGTGGTGTGTGCTGGCGCACTGTACCTGCTCCATTCCCAGTGGCTTTTTGAGCTCCTGGCCCTTCAATGACAGCTGCTGATGCACTTTCTGTCCACTCCTGAACACACAGCTGTTAGGGGGCTGCCAGTCCTTCCTTAGGATTGCAGTAAAAAGGAATTGACTGCAATCAGTTCCCCATTCCTTCAACTTCCACCTCAATTTGTTGGCTACGCTGCCAGCAGCATCTCCCCTCAGACACGGGAATATGAGAGAGACAGCTTTTTATTAGAGGCATAGTTTAGGAGCTATGTTTTTAAAAACATAATGGGGTGGCTAGCGGCGACTGCCACTTTAAAAAAGGCTTTGCATAAAAAGAGAGGGAAACAAGTCTTGGAAAGCTCAAATGATCTGATCTTTAATCTGATCTAGGACTCTTCAAACTACTTTTGACAGGCTGCAGTGTTTAAAGGCCGGAAGCCTGGTGATCTGCTTACGTAGATTAGAAATATTGCACTGACGTGAAGTCAGTAAATGTCTGTGTAAATCCAGTGCAGAGGACATTCGGTTCCTGAGTGAAGGCAAAATTTGCAAAGCTAGTTGTTGGCCAGTGAGAGGAACAGTCCTCGTGCGTGGGGGATGCACGAGCAGCAGCTGCCCTCACTTGTGCACGCAGAAACTCTGAGGAAGATACATCTGTTCTTTGCTGCTCTGCAGTTTGGCCCAATGCAATGTGTGACATTTTGGTAGAGTCATAACACTTTAGAAAGTGGGTTTTGTTTCAAGGGTCAAACTCTCTTGTGGAAAATTCCTGTATCGTTCAATGGAGAATAATAACTTTTCTGCAGAATTTTTACACTGTTCCACAGCATTTTTAGCAATTATATTTTTATTAATATTCTGTGTGCTGAGGAATTATTTTATTAAATGCTGTAGATTTTTTCACAAGAAATTTGCGTGGACTCTTGTTTAACTCAAAAATCCTTTGAAGCAGAATCGTATGCCCTTTTGTCCTTATTACGTGTGAGTGTGTGATGAAGCACAGATGCCATCAGCTGTCCTAAGAAGGGTGAAAGCATCCTCCCAAACCAAACGTGAACAGATCAGTGGAACTAATATGCAGACAGTGTCTGATCTGAGGCACAGGGTAATTTGCTGTTAATATATGTCAGTGTTAAGGCTCCTGGTATTTAGCTTGTCTCAAAGAGAAGGGCTGTGTGAATATTACGAGTATTTCAAATCTGTAAATACAACGTTTCTTCACATTTCTCAGTTTCATGGTAGGTGCTTTCTGTACTTTGAGGATTTTTGGTCTCACTTGCAGTGATAGGAAGTTGTTAGTCGATAAAAAGAACAAGTTCCATTTTCATTCAGTTTTGCATTGTCTCAGATTTTAATAAGAGGCTTGGGTAGGTTTTGGATACTTTGTAAAACAGAATTCTCAGCTTGATTGAAATTAATTCCCATGTGTCTCTGAGGGGTGAGATATACCTGGCCACTAAAATTCAGTCCTCAATGACTTTTACTCTGTGTTTTGCCCATGTCATCTAATTCTGGCCATGTTTACTTCAAGCAAGTGAATGAAGATTTCTGTTGATACCTTTCATTTCTGCTTACGACTGCTTCACAACAAGGAAGTTGTAAGAGCGATCCTGGTAAGCAGTGTCGCTGTCAAGATCAGGACCGCTGAGCAAAGCTAGATTGCTTGTGGTTTTCTGGTACATTCAGAAATCATGGTACATGGCAGCATAGTTACAAGCAAGCACCAAAATTAAGCACGGTTAACAGTTCTGTGATGGTAAATTTGCAGCATGATCTCATAAGAATATTGTCTATGTACTATTGCAAATTAATTTTGTGATTTTTTTTTTTTTTGTTGTTGTTGTTTATGCCCTAGCCCTGCTGCCACAGCAGTGATATCGTTGGCATTTGGACGTTACATTTTGGAGCCTTTCTTTATGAACTGTGAAATCCCAGAACTTGCAGTTAAACTTATTACAGCTGTTGGCATAAGTAAGTATCCAATTTTAGGTTTCAGGGAAGGGTAAAGATGATGTAAACTGAAAAAAAAAGGTAATTGTACACTGAACAGGTAGTCCTTTGATGTGAATTGGTACAAAATAACTGTGTATCTAATGCCAAGAGCATCAGAGTGACTTTTTGCCTGGATATGTGAGTTTGTGAACATATGCAGCAGTGAAAAGAATAGCAGCCTTTATTAATGGCAGGGAAAATCTATTGCCAAGGCTGATTCTGTGGCACTTGAATTAATGGCAGAACTCTCATTACTTTTGTGGAAGCAATTTCAGCCCCTAAGAGATGGTGAGCCAGTGCCAGAGATATAGAAGAATGATTACCTGATTTTAAGTGCTTTACTCTACCTCTGTTCTAGGAGGCAATTGAGTGCCAAGTATGATGCTATGAAGAAATGTAGTTCTCTTGAGTGGAGCACAGGCAACATGAGATCATCTTCCCTCGTCCCACTCTGTCCTTTGTCGCAATAAAACTTCTTGAGGCACTTGCGGTTCAGGAAGCAGGAACCCAACTGATGACTTTGGGAGCAGAGTGTACAGCTTGGTGAAAATATGTGTCTGTTGCCAGCAGCTTGTCCTACTCCTGCTAACTTTGCAATTAGTGTAAAAGTGACCGTTCAGGGTTACAGAGAACCAATAATTGCCAGTGGAAGGAGGGAGGCTACCCTGAGACCAGGAGCTTTACAGTGTACCTGGGCTGGTGTAGGAGGCTACATGAAACAGGAAGGCACAAATTGTGATGGGAGTGCGACTCTGAAGCCGTGTGCCTGCAGGGCTAGAGGCTTGTTTCCAGTTCTGTTCGGTCACTGGGGATGATGGTCCTTGCACAAGTGCACGAACATTCGCATTCAGCTGTGCTGGCAGGAGAGTGCGGAGTAGACCTGAGTAATTAGTAACAGATTGTTCCTTTCAATTTGGTCAGTGCACATATCAGAAACAAAAGGACTGAAAAAAGGAATTAAGACATGCAAAATGATCAAAGGCACACAGGAGACCCCTTCAGTTTTGCACAATAATAGGTTCAGATGACTTTTTCTTTCTTTGGTGTAGGGAGTTCAATTGACATTGAAATTTCCAGTCTCCAGGTTACTGTGGCTTTTTGTAGGAGCTCTCTTGATAAGAGTTCCCTTCTGCCAGGAGTGTTAAAAAAATCAGCATGTGACCGCATTTATTTCTAACTTAATTATGCACAAACTATAGGTTTCATAGCAATAATTGGATTAAGGGCTGAAATTTGAGGTCAATGACTTTTTATAGCTACATCTGTCTAGAATATTTCAGTGCAAGATAAGGGTGAAACAGATGTTCGGTAACTTCAAGGTCACTGAGACAGAAGGAATGTTAAGTGAGGACTCCATCAAAGCATTTTGTTAAGTGCATGTGATTCAAGCACAATAAGTGAACAATTTGAAATGGGTTTTTATTGCTTTTAATTTAATTGAAAATCTGTGTGATAAGCCAGGGCTTTGCAAAGTAATTAAACAAAGAAGTAGCATTGCAGGGAGGGTGGAGTTGTGCTGAAATAATTACAGCCTAAAGGGAGAGAGGAGTTCACAGCAGACTGCTCCTACGGTGAGTGAGGGTCCCTACAGCGCAGGTGGGATGAGCTGTTGTTTCACTGAAAGAAGGGATTCTTGTAGAAAGTTTGTAATGGTGAACGGGACAATGCTGAGGAGAACAGCAACGTGTCAGTCTGGGCCTTTATCTTTATTCTTTGTAGTATGTTCTACAGTGGAGTTTCTTTTGTAGTAGTTTTTGATCACATGCTACACTTAAGCTCAGGGATCCCTGAGTGTATGACTGTTATTCTTGTACGGTAAGAATTAGCTGTTGTGGTGGTAATTGTTATGAATTTTTTGTATTGTTCATGTAGTCAGAGTGATAGGTAAGATTAAGGTGGTGTTGAGCTGAACAGACACATTGGAGCCCTGAAGATCTTATAATCCAATTTAATGATGCCAAAGGTAGTGTCTGCTTCCATTGAAAGTTTTAAGTTAATCAGAAAGTGAACTGATGTGCCTTTTGTTTTCTTATCCACTCCTGGTCCCTTCTCCCTCCTGTGCCACACGACAGTGCTCACTGCATATCTGTCTTTATCGCCCAGAGGGATAGGTAGTGGGAAGCACTGTTAAACTCTGTCCTTGGGTGAGACTTTGTTCTGTAGTTTTACCCTGTCGTTTCTGATCATACTAGAAAGGGCAGGAAGAGATTTTGAAAAATCTCCAGGTGATCCACGGCCCCAAAATACATACAGCGTATCTAAACAATTTCTGATGTATGTTTGTCTAAATTGCTCTTAAAACCTCCAGTGAGGGAGTTTCTAAAGCATCACCTAATACTGTAGCCCAGTTTTTTTCTGTCCTTGTCAGAAGACAGTTTTTCTCATTTTTTCTCTGCCTCAACCTTCTTTTATACAATTTAAGCCTATTATTAAAAGGTTGTCTGAGACACATACAACCAGAGTTGTCGTGGGGACTGGCAAATACTGTTCCTCCTCTAACAGCTGCAGACAAGTACTTCTCATAGAGGGGCAACAGCCTCTTCTGCTCCCCACCGTTCCACCTCAGTGCCTCTGTGATGAAAAAGGAACGATGGTGCTGCAGAGAAGATGTAGATCAGATGACAACTGAAATGGAACTACTGGAGATGGTGACCTTTAAAAAAACCTTCATTCTTGGTTTATTATTTATGGGAAAAAAGCATGTGCTGGGCACAATATTCCCTTTGAAGTCACATTTGTTCTGAGCAATTTTGAACAATCTGTAGAAGAAAATTTTCTGTTCCAAAATATGGCACTGTAATTTTTTTAAAGAAATTTGTTTATTTATTTTTAAGTAAGAATAAATAATGGAAAAGTCCAAACATTTTAATGGCTCGGTAGAGAGAAAGATGCTTTGAGTGGAGATTCTAATCAGATACGCCAGCTTTCTCAACCTCTGAAGCAAAGGCTGCCTGTTCTTTTCAAACTTAGAAATTGCTTTAATTTGCTTGGTATTTCTCAAGCGAATCTCCGTGAGGAGAAAAACCTAGACAAACGCCGGATATGCATATCTCAGTGTATCTGTCAGTCTGCCATGAACTTTTTCTAAAGTCAGTCAATTTAACTGTACCTGAGAGAAGAGAAGGCATCTCAAAGATATCCATTTACTACAATTTTTATGCAAATAAGTTGCCAGGCAGAGGAGAGAGAACCTGGATGTGCCCCAGCACAGGGAAGGACAGCTGAAGAAAATGAAAACAGGAGATGAGGCCTAAATTCCCAATTTCTCTTGGACACAGCAACCTCAGGACACAAAGCAGAAGGGACACCATCTTCCTTTGTTCTGATGCTGACAATGGTCTTTTCAGGAGAAAGAGTTAAAAATTCATTTCTTGAATTAAATGAAAGCTGGTAGACTCCTCCATATTTATTGTTTCTTCCCATGAAGGAAACACCATTGCGAAGCATGGTGATAGACAGTGCAACTCCCCGCCTTGATTTATTTGTTGCTTTATTTGTATTTTTAATTCTTCTTCTAAGGGTAAATTTAAATATACTGGTAACAGGAAGGGATAAATTATACTGTGAAAAGGTATTGAACTGTACTATCAACATGTAACCTGAATAGATATGCAATCGTAGCTGACCTTGTTCTAATCTTTTCACTTGGCCTCCATATCAGAAAGAAGATAAATGGGTTTCGGCTATTAAAAACCGTGAGATTGAAAGCAGGTTACCAGCTCACACATGTTTTTAAAGTTTTTACACTCATTCCTGTGTATTTTGGGCATTTTATGCTGCAATAATGTCTAACTTCCCCCTTTTTTGAAGGTCTGCCAAAAAAACCTCAAATACCCCAAGCTATGACTGTTAGAGGCAATATTATGGTTGAAAACCAAGGTCAGCTGTAGAGATCTATCAGTGCTTGCTGGCAAATACTCCAGCCCAAAGATTTATTGACATAAATTTGGTGTGTGTATATGACTTTAAAGCTAGTTCCTTTTTTTTTTTCCCATCATTACAGATGTTACAGATGTTGCTCTCTACCGCTGATAGTTTTCAGGCAAACACTTTAAATTAAGACATCTCTTGGCTTGCAGGGATAGCAAAAACTCCTCTGATGGGTGCTTTTGTGCCTCCTGTGACTTCATTTTAATTGACACATTACAACCTGCAAATTGGGGGTATTTTACTTTGCGTGAATGCCTTGACCCTAAAAGCCTGACAAGTCAGGGGAGGGCAGTTTCCTAGGTTTCCGGCTGAGGCAATGGTTACATATATTCTTGAAAAGTAGGCCAGAGTGTAATACTTACTGCTGCTTCTCCCATTAGGTTTTGTTATCCTTCTGTAGCTGTGGCTATGTGAGGGAAAGGGGTGGTGAAAAGCAACATGATTGGAGTTACCACTGTTTCATTGTTCGTGAACCCCATTTTGTTCTCCCTCCAAACTCTCCTCTGTTAGGATTCATCTCGCTTTTAGTTAAGTGTTTAGCTTAAGGTAATTGTCTATGCTCCCCATAGAGTTAGTGGACGAAGAGGGAAAGAAACACTTCCTGCAGGCAACACATCTCATCTGAGATTGGCATCTGAAAGAGGTGTTATTATTCATCCTCTGGAGGCAGCTGTCTCTTCATTGAGGGTGCAGCCACACTAGATGTCTGGCTTTTAGTTAGCAAAGTTAGAGATGATGAGTCCTTTCTCTGTCCTTTTGTCTGCGCAGTTGCTGCTTCCTTCTGATCTTTGCTGTGATCCTGTATCAAAGCATCTGCAATCAGTTTCTTGAAGTATGTCCATAAGGCCCTTATTCATAGAAGAGAGGTGCTGAATAATGACCATAGTCCGAAGATATAGAATTTCCTTCTTGAATCCTGGCACTGCTGTCATATTCTTTTCCTGCTCTTTAGCAGATTTCTTCATGACTCCTCTGTTGCCTTTCACTCCAGTTGCTAACACAACTAGCGTGATGCTGATACGTGACAGCAGGATAAGCCCCTCATCCCAGCATATGTCTGTTATGTACATAGAACTGCTAAGACTAAAATTATAAGACAACTGTAAATTCTTATAGCCTATTAAATCTAGCAAAATGAAATCCCCCAAAACACCAAATTGGTCTCAAATCTTCTAAGAACTTAAGCCTTAGCACTGAGACCTGAACTACTACATTTGTGCAGTCATGCAACTCTGCAAGGGACTTACGCTTACAGAGGACCATCAAAACTAACGGCACGTGCACCGGACTGACCGCAGGTGTAGTGTCTTTTCAGCTTCCTGATTAAAGGAAGGTCCTTGCTGTGTCCATTTTGCTTTTGCTATTTAATTAGAAATCCTCAGATGAAATATCTGATGGCTTGAACTCACATTTAGGGGTGGAGAAGCTTTTAACACAGCCTGCTCACAAGCAGTTTGTCTTCATGAAAATACCAGCCTGCACTTTTCCGTTTCAAGCCAGTGTAGCTCTTATGCAGATCTGGGACTTGTGATTTGTGTATGGCTGGCCAGCAAGGAAGGTTATGAGTTTCTGTTTGAGTTGACGTTAGTGTTCATACTAGTTTACCATCCAGTGACATTCTTATATGTGTATCGGGAAGGTGAAACTGATGCATTAGAAAACCTCGAGGAAGGCTCTCTGCAGGGAGGATGCTCACACTACCTGTTCTGACCCGTGTAAGGTAACAGACCAATTGCTGCAGTCAGCTTGAACTCCAAATAAGCTGGATGTCAAACTGCAGATACTTTCTTACACATAAAACTCTTCCTTGACACTTTCTTGTGGCTTGGTCCGTGTGCCTGGGCTTCATCTTCTGGGAAAGAAAAGTGAGATACCCTGAGCTTTCTAGGAAAACTGAAAGAAGCCGGTGCTTGTTTATGGCTCTGGATTTCTTTATAACTTAAACACTGTTGGTCAAATGAACATTTTAAAATACATTTTACCTAAATGACAGCAGTAAACCTTCCTGGTAATCAAGCCCTAGGAAAAGAGAGAGCCTTAATCCGTGCTAATACTCAGGAGCAACCTTAAGGGATCTTTCAACATTTAAATAAATGAAGACATGTCAGGGTAGTATTGCGACAGCAGAGTAATGAATCAGACCCCTGGGATTTTCTGTTGCCTGCCAAGTATAGGTATACACGAAGTAATACACCAAAAGTAAGTATTTGGATCTCAAGTGATACTTTACAGAAGTCCAAGTGGTTTCTTTGTGACTTAGAAAAGAGTGCCCCAGTCTGAAATATGGTGAAATGCAGAACTGGAAAAATATTTTGACCTACTTTTGGTGAAAAATTCACATTAAGAAGTGTTGTGACTTTATGCTGACTTTGGTAAATTATTCATCTGAGAGTGGGGCCCTCTCTTTCTCAGATAAAAATTCCAGAAAATACCTTTTTTTTTCCCTGCAATTTTTATTTTTTTTTTAAATATCTAAAAAACTCATTGGAATTCAGATTACTTGGAATTTTCTCCCTTCTCCATTAAACTAAAACTTCTTTTTGTTTAAACTGAGAAGATTTTTTTATGATATCTTTTTTTGGCCTGGCCAGTGAACAGAATCTGTATAAAAGACTTGTGGTAAATCAGTGGGTTTTGCTGCCATAAAGCTTGTACCATGCCAGATTTACAATGCTAGTGCGTACAAACTAGGTCCCAGACTCTGGCGGGAGATAGCAACTTGTGTTTTTGTGTGTCCCGTGATGTGTGGTATGGCTGTTGATAGCGACAAACCGATGCTCTTGAGAGAGTTCAAATTTGGGAGGACTGTGATGAGGGGCTAATTCATTAGCTCCATGTGATGGCAAGAAAGAGAAGATGAGTGAGCAGGCTTTTTTGACTGCATTTACCTTTCCCTGCAGCAGAGGGGGAAAAGGGACTTTTTATCTAATGAAACGACTCACATTTTCATTTCATTAGGTTTTTGGTTTTTTTTTTTAATAGCTAAACTCCTTTATTGATTCGGTTTTGCCAGGGTAATTATTTAAATAAGCTAGAATCACTTGCACTCAAATGAGAAGGCCTACCATCCTCCTGCCAGCCAGTGCTGCAGTAAAGGCCAGAAGATGTCCTCCCTGGCCCAGAAGGAGACGCAAGCCGAGCAGGCAGGACGTTAAAGCCCTTCTGAGTTATCTCTCTCTGTGTTGGTGAGGCACAGACCTGGGCTTTGTTTTCAGGAAGTAAAAGGTCTCTGTTTCTTCACCATTCCCAACAAGGGCAGGCACGTTACTTGCGCTCTAGCCCTCCAGCATCTCTGATGGTGTGTCAGTAAGGGAGGAGGAGGAGTGGAAAGGAGAAATGAGTGTAAATAAGGTAGTGAGTGACAAATTTATGCGGGGTCTAAATGGAGGTGAGGAAGTTTAATATGATTACGAATTGTTCTCTGAAAATGCAAATCTCTACTCAAACGGGTACTGATACAGAAACTGGAGTGATAAGGGCTGGGCAATCAATTTCTTTCATCCAAGGCAGGGTCCTGCCAGCCCGTTGTCTACCAACAGCTAACAATTCTGGGTAAATGAGGCTGTAATTTGGTGTGGAGGGAGCCAGGCAGAGAGCAGAGAGACGGATGGGCCATGCAGTGGGTCAGACAGAGGGGCACAGCTCAAGCATTTCGTGAGGTGTCTGAAAGAGGAATGTGAGAAGTGGGAGGGCAGCAGCTGAAGGAGGTTATTGGGATGTATTTCCTTTAATGCATCAGTACCTATTGTGTGTGTGGCCTCTCTGCTGTAAAGGGTTTTACGGTGATTTCAGCGGCATGAGTATTTCTTTCTGACTTTGTTTTTTCCCTTTGCAGCTCTGGTGATGGTCCTGAACAGCACGAGTGTCAGCTGGAGTGCCCGCATTCAGATTTTCCTTACCTTTTGCAAGCTTGTAGCAATTCTGATAATTATAGTCCCTGGAGTTATCCAGCTAATTAAAGGTATGAAATGAAAAGTAAATGCTTTTAAAGTGCTTTTATCTTTACCCTCCTCACTCT